CGAGAATGGACAGCATAGAAAGGAGTATAAGTGAATTGATGGAGCTGAAAAACCCAACACGAGAACTTCGTGAAGCATGCAAAAGCTTCAACAGCCGAATTGACCAAGCAGAAGAAAGGATATCAGAGGTCGAAGATCAACTCAATGAAATAAAAAGAGAAGGCAAGAACAGAGAAAAAAGCGCAAAAAGGAATGAACAAAATCTTCAAGAAATGTGGGACTATGTGAAAAGACCTAATCTACGTCTGATAGGTGTACCTGAATGTGATGAAGAGAATGAATCCAAGCTGGAAAATACTCTTCAGGATATTATCCAGGAAAACTTCCCCAACCTAGCAAGGCAGACCAATATTCAAATCCAGGAAATACAGAGAACACCACAAAGATATTCCTCAAGAAGAGCAACCCCAAGGCACATAATCATCAGATTCACCAGGGTTGAAATGAAAGAGAAAATGCTAAGGGCAGCCAGAGAGAAAGGTCGGGTTACCCACAAAGGGAAGCCCATCAGACTCACAGCAGATCTCTCAGCAGAAACCCTACAAGCCAGAAGAGATTGGGGGCCAATATTCAACATCCTTAAAGAAAAGAACTTTCAACCCAGAATCTCCTATCCAGCCAAACTAAGCTTCGTAAGTGAAGGAAAAATAAAATCCTTTGTGAACAAGCAAGCACTCAGAGATTTCATCACCACCAAACCTGCTCTACAAGAACTCCTGAAAGAGGCTCTACACATGTAAAGGAACAACCAGTACCAGCCACTCCAAAAACACACCAAATGGTAAAAAAGCATCAACACAATCAAGAATCTGCATCAACTAACCAACAAAACAGCCAGGTAGCATCAAAATGACAGCATCAAATTCACACATAACAATACTATCCCTAAATGTAAATGGACTAAATGCCCCAATCAAAAGACACAGACTGGCAAATTGGATAAAAAGCCAAAACCCATCAGTGTGCTGTATCCAGGAAACCCATCTTACATGCAAGGATACACAAAGGCTCAAAATAAAGGGATGGAGGAAGATCTACCAAGCAAATGGAGAGCAAAAAAAGGCAGGAGTAGCAATTCTCATCTCTGATAAAATAGACTTTAAAGCAACAAAGATCAAAAGAGACAAAGAAGGACATTACATAATGGTAAAAGGATCACTGCAACAAGAAGAGCTAACGATCCTAAATATATACGCACCCAATACAGGAGCACCCAGATACATAAGGCAAGTTCTTAATGACTTACAAAGAGACTTAGACTCCCACACAATAATAGTGGGAGACTTTAACACCCCATTGTCAATATTAGACAGATCAACCAGACAGAAAATCAACAAGGATATCCAGGACCTGAATACAGACCTGGAACAAGCAAACCTAATAGACATTTGCAGAACTCTCCACCCCAAATCCACAGAATATACATTCTTCTCAGCACCACATCACACCTACTCTAAAATTGACCACATAATTGGCAATAAATCACTCCTCAGCAAATGCAAAAGAACAGAAATCATAACAAAAAGTCTCTCAGACCACAGTGAAATCGAGTTAGAACTCAGAATGCAGAAACTAACTCAGAACTGCACAGCTTCATGGAAACTGAACAACTTGCTCTTGAATGTTGACTGGATAAACAATGAAATGAAGGCAGAAATAAAGATGTTCTTCGAAACCAATGAGAACGAAGACACAACATACCAGAATCTCTGGGACACATTTAAAGCAGTCTCTAGAGGAAAATATACAGCAATGAGTGCCCACATGAGAAGAAAGGAGAGATCTAAAATTGACACCCTATCATCAAAATTGAAAGAGCTAGAGGAGCAAGATCAAAAAAACTCAAAACCTAGCAGAAGACAGGAAATAACTAAGATCAGAGCAGAACTGAAGGAAATAGAGGCACAAAAAACTCTTCAAAAAATCAGTAAATCCAGGAGCTGGTTTTTTGAAAAGATCAACAAAATAGACAGACCACTAGCCAGATTAATAAAAAAGAAAACAGAGAATAACCAAATTGATGCAATAAAAAACGATAAAGGGGATATCACCACAGATTCCACAGAAATCCAAACCATCATCAGAGATTATTACAAACAACTCTATGCACATAAACTAGTAAACCGGGAAGAAATGGATAAATTCCTGGACACCTGCAACCTCCCAAGCCTAAACCTGGAAGAAGCCGAAACCCTGAATAGACCAATAACATGGTCTGAAGTCGAGACAGCAATAAAGAGCCTACCACCCAAAAAAAGCCCAGGTCCAGATGAGTTCACAGCTGAATTCTACCAGACATACAAGGAGGAGCTGATACCATTCCTTCTGAAACTATTCCAGACAATCCAAAAAGAGGGAATCCTTCCCAAATCATTTTACGAGACAAACATACTGATACCAAAACCCGGCAGAGACTCAACAAGAAAAGAAAATTTCAGGCCAATATCCATGATGAACATAGATGCAAAAATCTTCAATAAAATACTGGCAAACCGATTGCAACAGCATATCAAAAAGCTCATCCACCATGATCAAGTAGGATTCATCCCGGGGATGCAAGGGTGGTTCAACATACACAAGTCCATAAACGTAATCCACCATATAAACAGAACCAAAGACAAAAACCACATGATTATCTCGATTGATGCAGAGAAGGCTTTTGACAAAATTCAACAACTCTTTATGCTAAAAACCCTCAATAAACTAGGTATTGACGGAACGTATCTCAAAACAATAAAAGCTATTTACGACAAACCAACAGCCAATATCATACGGAATGGGCAAAAACTGGAAGCATTCCCTTTGAAATCTGGCACTAGACAAGGATGCCCTCTCTCACCACTCCTATTCAATATAGTACTGGAAGTTCTAGCCAGAGCAATCAGGCAAGAAAAAGAAATAAAGGGTATCCAAATTGGAAAGGAGGAAATCAAATTGTCTCTATTTGCAGATGACATGATTGTATATCTGGAAGACCCCATCATCTCAGCCCAAAATCTCCTGAAACTGATAAACAACTTCAGCAAAGTCTCAGGATACAAAATCAACGTGCAAAAATCACAAGCATTCCTATACACCAGTAACAGACTTCAAGAGAGCCAAATCAAGAACGAACTGCCATTCACAATTGCTACAAAGAGAATAAAGTACCTAGGAATACAACTAACAAGGAACGTAAAGGACCTCTTCAAGGAGAACTACAAGCCATTGCTCAATGAAATAAGAGAGGATACAAACAGATGGAGAAACATTCCATGTTCATGGTTAGGAAGAATCAACATCGTGAAAATGGCCATACTGCCCAAAGTAATTTACAGATTCAACACTATTCCCATCAAGCTACCAATGACCTTCTTCACAGAACTGGAAAAAAACACCTTAAACTTCATATGGAACCGAAAGAGAGCCCGCATAGCCAAGTCAATTCTAAGCAAAAAGAACAAAGCAGGAGGCATCACACTACCGGACTTCAAACTATACTACAAGGCTACAGTAATCAAAACAGCATGGTACTGGTACCAAAACAGAGATATAGACCAATGGAACAGAACAGAGGCCTCAGAGGAAATACAACATACCCACAACCATCTGATCTTCGACAAACCTGACAAAAACAAGCAATGGGGAAAGGATTCCCTGTTTAATAAATGGTGTTGGGAAAACTGGCTAGCCATGTGCAGAAAGCAGAAACAGGACCCCTTCCTGACACCTTACACCAAAATTAACTCCAGATGGATTAAAGACTTAAACATCAGACCTAATACCATAAAAACCTTACAAGAAAATCTAGGCAAAACCATTCAGGACATAGGTGTAGGCAAGGACTTCATGACCAAAACGCCAAAAGCAATGGCAACAAAAGCCAAAATAGACAAATGGGACCTAAACTCCACAGCTTCTGCACGGCAAAAGAAACAGTCAGTAGAGTGAATCGGCAACCAACAGAATGGGAAAAATTTTTTGCAGTCTACCCATCTGACAAGGGGCTGATATCCAGAATTTACAAAGAACTAAAGCAGATCTACAAGAAAAAAACAAACAAGCCCATTCAAAAATGGGCAAAGGATATGAACAGATACTTTACAAAAGAAGACATATGGGAGGCCAACAAACATATGAAAAAATGCTCATCATCACTGGTCATCAGAGAAATGCAAATCAAAACCACATTGAGATACCATCTCACACCAGTTGGAATGGCGATCATTAAAAAATCGGGAAACAACAGATGCTGGAGAGGATGTGGAGAAATAGGAACACTTTCACACTGTTGGTGGGAATGTAAATTAATTCAACCATTGTGGAAGACAGTGTGGCGATTCCTCAAGGACCTAAAAATAGAAATCCCATTTGACCCAGCAATCCCATTACTGGGTATATATCCAAAGGATTGTAAATCATTCTACTACAAGGACACGTGCACACGAATGTTCATTGCAGCACTGTTTACAATAGCAAAGACCTGGAACCAACCCAAATGCCCAACGATGATAGACTGGATAGGGAAAATGTGGTACATATACACCATGGAATATTATGCAGCCATCAAAAACGATGAGTTCACGTCCTTTGTAGGGACATGGATGAACCTGGAAACCATTATTCTCAGCAAACTGACACAAGAGCAGAAAATCAAACACCGTATATTCTGGCTCATAGGTGGGTGTTGAACAATGAGAACACATGGACACAGGGAGGGGAGCACTACACACTGGGATCCGTTGGGGGGAAATGGGGGAGGGGCGGGGGGTAGGGAGGTGGGAAGAGATAGCATGGGGAGAAATGACAGATACAGGTGAGGGGACGGAAGGAAGCAAAGCACACTGCCATGTGTGTACCTATGCAACAATCTTGCATGTTCATCACATGTACCCCAAAACCTAAAATGCAATAAAAAAAAAAAAGAAATTATTAAAAAAAAAAAAAAGAACTATATTTCTTACACAGTGTAAAATGTACATTTTGACTGTGCTTTACCACATATAAAGAAGCAAACATACCTGTTCTGATTTAAGTACACTGAGTTCTTTCTGAAGTTTATCATTTTCACTTGGTTGAGTTGCTCTAAGTGATGATTCCTTTGTTACTGATGGCAAGTGATCGAAAATGAACTGTTCTTGCTTATGTTCTTTTCCAATAGTCATATTTCCAAAAGAAACTTTATCTTCCACCATTATTTTTGATTCTTCACCAAAACTTTTATTTACTTTAGAAATTGATCCTTCAGCATCCCTGCTTGTCATAGTCACAACTCCATCTGATAAAGAGCTTACTTGAGTATCACATGACTGTATATTTTCTGCCCTGTTGTGGTTAATAATGATTTCTAGTTCTCTACATTTCAATAAAACTTGTTCTTTCTCTTGCTTTAAAGATTTAACTTCTTCATTTAGAAAACTAATCTCACCATGTTTCTGTTTCAACTGTTCAGAAAGATCAGACAGTCTCTGTGACAGCTCTAATTTCTCTCGCTTGGTTACCTCAAGCTTTTCCATGAGTTCTGTTGTATCCTTCTCAACAACCTCACCGATTTCCAATGTTTCTGCTAGAAAAGTTTTGTCTTCATCAAAGACAGAACTTTTCATTTTCACTGGAGCTGGATTTATTCTTTGCAAATGAAGCTCTTCATTAAGTGCCTTAAGCTTACTTTTATACTCTAATTCCTGTTTATTTTTACTGTCTTCTAAATCATCTTTTACTTTGAGAAGGCAAGCATACTCCTCTTGTAACTCTTGATAGTTAACTTCAAAGTTCTTTTCAGCAAATGAAAAAGTGTTCCTTTGCTTTTCAATCTCTTCATTTAGCTGAATACATTGTTGTTTGAGGTCCTCATTTTCCTCTGTAAGGATTTCTATTTCTTTTTGCCAGACAGAGTCTTTGGATTTGGACTTAATGGAATCTATGAAAATCAATCTTTCTTCTTGGTTAATAGGAGTATGTATTTTCAACATGTCTTCAAGTGCTTTCTTTTCATCTTTAAGAATGTTATTCTCTGCTTCAAGCTGTGTGAATTTTTCTTGAAGATCATTCTCTTTTTCCTTCATCTGTTTTTCTAATAATTCTGTTTTAAGTTGTAATTCTTGAACTTCTTGTTCAAGTGTACCCTTTTCCTTTTCTTCTCGTCTGAGTATTTCAATTTCTTTTTGAAGTTCATTGATTTGAAGAGTCATTTCTTCTGACTTTGAATTTACAAGAGACTGCTGTAAATCTTTCAGCTTCGAAATTTCCAAAATTAATTGATTCTGCTTAGTTATCAAATTGTCTTTTTCAAACTGCATGGTTTCTATCTTTTGACTCATTTCATTCTGTAAACCATCTATCTGCTGTTTATAGTGAATGCTTAAGTTATCTTTAAGTTTTTCAATATTTATTCGATGTTCAATTTCTAAATCTTCCTTCAGCTTGGAAAGTTCTTCTTCATGACTAAATAGAAGCTGTGTTCGCAGCCTCTCTAATTCAGCTTCTTGTGATTCAGCCATTCTATCTAAGACAGCATTCTTTTCTTTTTCTAACATTTCAAGTTTTATCTTGTAATTTGTAACTTCTGCTTCATGTTTTAATTCTAGTTCCTTTCTGGATTCAGATGCAGAAACAATCTCAGCTTTCAAATCTTCCACTGTACTAAGAGACTTATGTGCTTCATTCAGTTTACTTTCTTGTTCAGCTACTGTCTGTCTAGCTCTCTGAATTTGCTCCCTTGAAAAGCTCAATTCTTCAAAAAGGTCTTCAAGCTGTCTCTGTAGAGCACATTTTTCTTCTAAAATTCTTCCTAGTTCTTCCTTGAGTTTTTCCTTTTGAGAGTTAGTATCTTGCAATTTTATATTCAGTTCATTTATTGCCACATTCATTAACTCTACCTGATCTTCATTAACTGTAATATTTGGATGTGACCTGAACACATTCTCCATTTCTCCCTTATACAGTGTTTTAAGTTCCTCCATTTGTGACATGTGTTGTCTTATTAATTCTTGTTTCATTTGCACTATCTGCTGCCCATACATCTCATCCAGCTCTGCCCGGAGTTGTTCTAACTTTCTTTGAGTTTCTTGTTCCATTCGTTGTACTATATCAGTTCCAAACTGACTGTCTTTATGATTTCTCTTCTGAAGTTCTTCGACTGTCCCCATTAACTGTTTTATTTCTTCAGAAGATTGTCTTTCTTTTTGCTTAGAATTATTCAGCTCTAATTTCATATTTTTTATTTCTTGGTTCTTTTGCACAACTTGTTCTTGTAACTCTCCTAGTAATTTATCAGCAGCTGTTAATTTATCCTTTAGCTCAAGAGTTTTTTTTTCTTCTTCTATTATTTTTGTGTTTAGTTTTCCAATGATCGCCTCCTTTTCCTGTATTTCTTCTTTATTTGAGTTTTCTACTTTTTTATCTTGTTCCTTTAGGAAAAAAAAAATGAAAATATTAAGAATGGCATTTTCAGCTTCTGCCAACTTATATGGCTTCATCTCATTACCAAAACACTGACAGAAATCTCTCTTTTAAAAAAATTCTAAGGAACTGTTGGTCCTACCCCTTAATTTTTTCCATAATGAGATCTAGAACTTATGTACCCAACACTACTTGTAAGCAAATACTACAATAGTTTGGGCCTTCTTAAAAGAAATTTCTTTTAACATTTCTGTGATTAAAATTTTTGGTTTAAAAACCCAGTCTGATTTTGGATGTCTCTAAACTGTTATCTTTTCATTTTTCTTATTATCCGATCAACATTCTGAATATTTAGTATTCTCTATAGCTAAAGTACTACATATACTCTAGACACATTTAGCAAGATAAAAATAAATCAAAGTTCCTCACATGTATTCTGGTGACTTCAATGTGTGTCACGGGCAAGGGCTATGGAAAAAGTAAAACAACAAAAACAGATTCCTAAGGGTCTGTCTAACTTCAGTCCTGGGCTCTTAAGTCAATTAGAAATTTAGAAATATGAAATGCCTAAATGATGGAAACTCAAGTGACATCTAAGACAACTATACCATTTATGGCATATCAACTTGGTCCTAGACTTTTGGTTCAAACAGAAATTTGCAAGCAAAGCAGATATTCTCCCCCAGTTCTTATTCAGGATTCTGTTTTGGAACTGAGATAAGACTAAGCCCAGATGCAGGCCAAGACATATCTGTTATCGTGATTACTTCAACATGACAAAGTCAAGCAGAATTCCTGGGTCAAAGTTTTGCTTCAGTAACTTAGTTTTCTGTGTAAGTAACAGAGGGCTATAGTCTCAAAAACAAAGAAATACATGAAATCTGCAGAATGGATCAGAACATAAGTAGGCAAGTAAAATCATTTTAAGGAGACAGGAGTCCCAGACAACCAGGACTTACAGGTGCCTTGAATGATATTTATATATATAAGGAAGAAATGCCAAGGCCAAGAAAAATAAAAGCCTCAGAGAGAAATGTTGGCAGTGCCCATTCAAGTACAGCCTTTGAGAATTCTGGTCACTCTAGAAAAAAATTACCTAATGTAGAAAGAAACATCAGGGATTGTAGCAAACAGCACTTAAGAATTTCCATCTACAGACATGACCATTTCTAATGTGAGACAGATAGACAGATCAGGTTATCTCAGCCTAACGCTCCTGAACCTCTGATTCCTCTAAAACCTTTTGATCTCATGCTCACTAAATAACTTTCTAATTATTATTTGGTTTTAAAAATTCATTTGCCCATGGAAAGAATATAAAATCCAATGAACTTAATATTTAGGTCCCTGTGATAATTATTTCTCATTGTAAATTAATAATCTCATTCAAGCTTTAAACATTAGCCTCATGGTGAAACCCCGTCTTTACTAAAAATACAAAAATTAGCTGGGCATCGTGGCAGGTGTCTGTGATCCCAACTACTCAGGAGGCTAAGGCAAGAGAACAGCATGAATCTGGAAGGCGGAGGCTGCAGCGAGCCAAGATCACGCCATTGCACTCCAGCCAGGGCAACAGAGTGAGACTGTCTCAAAACAATAAGAACAACAAAACATCAGCCTTGTGAAGATGGAAAATCTGAGTTCACTTCAGAGATAGCTCATCTCAGTTAATAGGGAAATAAAAAAATCAGACTTCTGAATCTACAAGTTGAAGGCCAGATTCTGTACTATATAAATTAACCAAGGCAATGAATGTTATCCTATGTGGCCTCTTGAGCAAAATTCTATCAGCTTTTGTCTTGGTATCACATATCCCACCCAATATTACCATATTATTACCGAGTGCTGAGCCTTCTTACTTCAACCTCTGAACTACAATAGGATATCAGTAAATCAGTTTAATCTCTTTTAATCCCAGTGTCTTCATCCATACAATAAAGATAATATATTATTTCCTCTATCTCACAGAATATGCTAAAATAAAATACCACATATTAAGGCATTTTATTCTTACTGTACTATTAATATATATAAGTGCAATATTTTTACATGCTAGAAAGAAATCTATAACACATTTGGAATCTATGAGAAAGTAAAATCAGTTCATGGTGGTAATTCCAGTTAAATTGTTAAATAAGTTAACTAGGTTTGAAAAATGTTAATGTTATAAAACCTAACTTTTCTGTTTCCTGATTTTCTATAGGGGAGGGGAAGGTCTTCATAAAACAGTATCATTTAATTCAAAATTGTCCAACATCTGATATAATAACAATCAAAACTAATTCTTCATTCAACCATTAAACAACACAAGTTCATGGTTTAGTTTTCTTAGTAGCACTTAATTTCAAAGTACATGGTTTTTAAATTACTCATTTTGTGGTCTTAAAAAAAAAAAACAGCTCTGTGGTTGAATATATCATCTTTTGGAATTACACCTGAGATGGTGGGGAATAATACACTAGGGCACCATGAAAAGTCTGGAGGATTAAGACAATGAGAATGTTAGGACAATGAGAACGAGCTTTTAATCACTGACACAGTTGTGTAGAGAAGGGGTCCCCAACTCCCAGGCTGTAGACCCAGTTCTGTTTGGGGTCTGTTAAGAACTGGGCCATACAGCAGGAGGTGATCAAGCATTATCACTTGAGCTCCACCTCTGTCAGATCAGCTGCAGCATTAGGTGCTCATAGGAGCTTGAACCTTATTGTGAACTGTGCATGTGAGGGATCTAGATTGCAAGCTCCTTATGTGAATCTAACTAATGCCTGATGTCGACTCAAAACCATTCCTCCCACTGGTCTGTGGAAAAAGTATCTTCCATGAAACTGGACCCTGGTGCCAAAAAGGTTGGAGACCACTGGTCTAGGGAACCAGGACCATTTCATTTGTGACCCTAAAGCCTTAGCTGACCCTAATGCCTCAGCTGCTGACAGAACTACTCAGGGGGATTCATTTTCTTAAGAATAAAAATTAAAAACTATGTATATAGTGAAAAACAGATTGATAGAAGTATTCTTGTTACATTCAAATAAATAAGGTTATTCTCCCTACAAAAATGAATTAATTACTTGAGTTTTAAATAATCTTAATTCACACTGACCACAGAATAAATATAATACAATCCAATCTCCAGGCTCTTCTCACCTAGGCCTAGATTATCCTTCTATTCTTACCTCCTGGAAAGGTTAACTTTTAAAGACTACTGTTGCCTAGACAAATTACACCATTTTTTGCTCCTTACTGTTTTTTAACATGTTTTGCCCTGAGTCTTTATGCCTATTACACATTCTATCTAAAATGTCCTCCCCATTTCTATCAGGTGAGATCCTTAATTTATCCACTTGTTTAGGAAGTACTGAGTAGCTTAGCTACTATGTTCCATGCATTAGGCCAATTGCTGGGGAAACAAAATACCATTAAAAGGGATTGTCCCAACTTACAAACTTATGTCAAACAGAACTCCTCCACTAAACCCTACCCTGAATCTCTACCCTCATTACGCCCGACCTATTCAGAACCTTCAAGGCACTTTTTGCCTACACTTATCCTTGTTTTGTGGTGTCCTTTGTACATGCCATAGCTCTCCTACTAATCCATGAGTTCCAGTAAAGAAAAAGGCAAACTTTAAGCATCATTGTATTTCTTGCAAGGGCCTGCTATAAAAACAGGTGTTTTGTAAACATTTACCTAATAATTTTTAAATTATCTTAGTTGTTAAGGATGTATTTTCATAATTTCATTGTCTTCAATTTGTATATTCCCTATTATTTAAAAGTAGTTCTCTGGAGTCAGACAACCTAGATTTGAAATCTGGCCCTATCAACTTACTACCTCCATACCTGGGCAATTTGCTTCACTCTTGCTTTGTCTTGGTGTCCTCACTTAGAAAATAGGAGTAATAATGGTACTTCTAATGCACAGACCTGTGACGATGATTCAATGAGTTAATATGTGTAAGATGCTTTGAATACTGCATGTTACACAGTAAGCACTTAATAAATGCTAATTAATACTATATTATTATCCAAACAATATTCTTGTCTTGATAATTTCTCAAGCTCTTGCAGAAGAACCACCTAAGTTTATAAAAAGTACTATATTGTATATACAATCCACCCTCATGCTTTGTAGATTCCATATTTGTGAATTCTTGCTAAAATTTACTTGTAACCTCCAATCAATGCTCATGGTGTTTTCAGTCATTTGCAGGTGTGCACAGAGTGACAAAAAGTTTGAGTTGCTGGACATACACTTCCAGCTGAGGTCAAACAAGGTGACCATACTCTGCCTTGTTCAGCTCTTAAACATAGAGGACCAGAGGGATGGAGGGGACTCGAGGCAGTGCAGTATAGTACAAGAAGCTCCAGCTTTGGGGCAACTGACAGGATCTGAATCCCAGTTTGACACCTCTTAGTGGGGTGGCCTCAGGAAAGTCACTCTGAACCTTGATTTTTCTTTTAAAAAATAAACAGACTCTTCCAGGATGAGTAGTTTTTGTGATTTAAGATTATAATCAATGTGATATACATATACATATACATATATATATACACACACACATATATATATACACACACACACACACACACATATATATATATACACATACATATATGTGATATACATATATATAAAATATACGCACCCATATAAAGATACACATTCCCTCACCCACCCCCCACCCCAGGAACTTATTTGCTAAGTAAGTGTTCCTAGAAACACTTATGGAACACTTAAGCTTATGGAACGTAACTTATGTAAATAAAAAGAACTGACTATATTTTTTTTCTAATTAAAATCCATAAAATTCCTTTCTGTTGTAAAAATATTTTCAGAATTTCACAACCATGGCTAAAATAAGTGAAAATAACTACAAATGACAAAAAAAATTAGTTATAAATTTAGATTTTCCTACTAATTCAGTTTAACACAGGCTGATCACTTTTAGGGAATTCAGTAATAACTATTATCTTAAAAACTACATTACTGAGACTCCCATTTGCTTTTGAAATAAATTACATAAAGAGCTTAATTATGAAATTTCATAACAACAAAAAAAAAAACACTTGCATAAAAAACTTTAAACTGTAAAGTTTCTACAAGTTAGTTGATTTCATTAAAATAAGCATACCATTTCATATACTTTAATTTTCTCTTGCAAGAAACTAATTTGCATTTTGAAGTCTTCTTTCTTTTTCTGATAATCTTCTAATAGGTGGTCTTGTTCTTCAAGCTGCTGTTGATGAGTGAGGATCTGTTGTTTGGCTTGTAGTAAGTCTGCAGCTGTGCTACTATGAGTGCTGTTTCTCAGAGTTTCACTAGCCTGTAACTGCAAATAGAAAGAAACCTCAAAACGTTAAATTCTGAAGTGACTATATTAGGGAACAGACACCTTGGGGGTGTCCCTGCAATAGCTCTCTGGGATCCTTGCTGGCTTTGCAGGCTTGAGACCCTAGCAAACATGCTGCCTTGGCTGACTAGATAGGTATATCCAAGCCAATTCAATAAAATTATCTTTTCCATGACACAGCAGAAAAGCTAGGTCTCCTGAGACTGAGGCAGATATGTGAAGAAAACTGGGACCTCAAAGACAGTACTTCCTGAATTCCTGATGGCTTTCTAGTTTGTAGTTCCAATCCCTTTCAGAGGCCTGGTTGTGTTTCTGCCCTTGGGTTCTGTAAACAGCCTGAATCCTTACACTAAATACCTCCCTTTCGCTTTAAGCTATTTCAAATTGTTTTGTTATTTGCCATCAGAAATGCGGATTAATGCAATTAGATTCCTGTGGCTCTAATTGAAGGAAAATGGAATATATTTAGTCTTGTTATCATTTAGAACCTAACTAAAATAAACCATACCAGGATTGGCAAAACTAGGATGTGATTACAGATTAATTTTTGCAGAAATACCCTCAATCAACCTTATAAGATTTTATAATATTTCAAAATAGAGGCAGGGAGGAAACACAAAGAAAATACTAGTAGAAAACCATTTAAGAAGTATGAATTAAATTCTTGATTAACATAGCAACACATATTCACTGATTTTTCATACATGATATAGTAAGAAATGGCTTTTTATCAATTTAGATTTGTTCTTGAGGTAAATTTTTAAACTTCATTACTAAAAACTAATAAATTTTGTTGCATTAGTAACACTTACTTGCTGAAATTGAATCTGTAATTTTTGACTCTGTTCTGTCAACTCTAAAAATTCTCTCATTGTCTCATCCTTTTCTCTTCTTGCTTGTTGTAAATTAGCAGTGAGCTGGGTTATGATGCCATCTCTTTGTTTAATGGCAGCTTCAAATTCTTGTAACTAAAAGAAAATATTAAGTACCGAAATAATTTTTTTTTTAAATTCACCATTACAGGTAACTTTTAAAAAATATGAATTAAAAACACACTGGCAGAATTCTTACACTTTATAAGCAGTCTTTTCCTCATTTGAAAGCTATTAACTTACAGAAACTGGTGCTACTTCCAAATCAACTTCAAAAAATTTATCTGAACTAAGGAAAAAATTATATTTCATCTGGCTTATCCATATATTTACTTATAGAAGGACAAGTGACTTTATATTTAGAGGTGCCCCTAATCTGTTCCTAGGCAACACCACCTTAGACATATTTAACCCCAACTTGTTTTTGAAGAGGATAAAATGGAAATGTATTTTGTCATCTTCATCAATGTCCTATTTCACCTTGTTTTCATAACTGACTGCCATAGACAGTTATGGCAGTCTAACCACAGATGTCAATCTAACCACAAGAGGTTACTTACAAGGACCTGCTGACATATTTTTCTGTTCTTTTTTGAGACAGGTTCTCACTCTGTCACACAGGATAGAGTGCAGTGGTGTGATTTTGGCTCACTACAGCCTCAATCTTCTGGGCTAAAGTGATCCTTCTGCCTCAGCCTCCCAAGTAGCTAGAACTACAGGCACACACCACCATGCCTGGCTAATTTTTAAGTTTTTTGTAGAGATGGAGTCTTGCTATTTTGATCAGGCTGGTCTCAAACTACTGGACCCAAGCCATCCTCCTGCCTTAGCCTCTTGAAGTGCGGGGACTACAGGCATGAGCCATGCCCAACTTGCTGACATTTTTAAAGGACTTAAGTTATAATATTTTGATGTGGTTTGCACCATAATTTTCTCTCAGGCTGATTACAAAAACATCTGTCCCACTAACGTGATTTCAGACAATCATAAAGTTAAATAAGAGTCTGTGTTATATTGACCCTGTTAATCAAATCCTACTTTTAAACAGGGTTGTTTATGCTATGTAAAAAGACAAAAATTATGAGTGATACCGTTACCATTTAGTTTTTTGTTTTTGTTTTGTTTTGTTTTGTTTTTTTAATGAGACAGGGACTCTCTATGTTGTCCAGGCTGGACTTGAACTCCTGGGCTCAAGTGATCTTTCCACCTCAGGCTCCTGAGTAACTAGAACTACAGGTGCATGCCACTGTGCCCCACTAAGCTACCATTTGAAAACCTCCATCTTTAGGCCAGGTATGATTGCTCATGCCTGTAATCTTAGCAATCTGGGAAGCCAAGGAGAGTCCAGGAGTTTGATGTGACACTCCATCTCTACAAAAAACTAAAAAAAATTAGCTGAGCGTGGTAATGCATGCCTGTAGTCCCAGTTACTTGGAAGGCTGAGGTGGGAGGATCACTTGAGCGCGGAAGGCAGAGAGTGCAGTAGGCCAAGACTGTACCACTGCAATCCAGCCTAGGAGACACAGCAGGACTCTGTCTCAAAAAAAAAAAAAAAAAAAGAAAGAAAAAAAATTTTTTTAAAAAGAAACCCATCTTTAAACACTGCACATATACTACTATTCAAATTTCTTGTGTTTGTTTTTGTGAGTCGCAAACCAAAGCCACATAAAATAAACATACTTGCTGCAGTCCTTCAGTCCCATAGGTAACCCTCATTTCTTCCAGCTCTCTGTTTAGCTCTTCAATCTCATGCTGCTTCCCAGCCAACTCACTTTCCATCATCTCTAGGTGAGTTGGACTGTACTGTGCTCCTTGTTCAGAATAAGAATCATCAACACCAAATTCTTCTTCCTAAATCAATCCAAGATTTAAAATAATTCATTCTAGCAATATTCCTTAGGGAGAGAGATTCAAATACTGAAATCCATAGCAAGGTCCACTTTAAAATATCACTCATTACCTGGAAGATTACAGTATGGCAACCTACTTTGTTAATATAACACTTACCTCAGGAGCATAAGTAGGCTATATGCAAATTCTGCTACAATCGAGTTTTAAAATAAACACTAGATAACTTTGTTTTAGGAAACATTAAAATTAATTTGAAATCATACATGGAAAGAAGTACATGCAGGAAAAAGTTTTGTTAGTAAGCCAGATGATTTTAAATAGTATACAATATTAGTATCATGAGTAGTTTTAAATACTGTACCCTTAATAAATTTGTAGGCTTTCCTGTTCTCATCACAAAACTGCAACCATTTACCTGTATAAAAACAATTTCCTGATATATTATGATCTTAGATATAATTTTCTTTAGCTAACAATATTTCTGTTAACTATTTTCATGTGTACATGTCTTTTATTCCCAGGGAAAATGTGTCATTGGCAAAAACAGATACAGAGATTAATTTTAAACAACTAAGAGACATAATGACCATTTCAAATGCCAATCATTCCTCACACATCTGAATGCTTACAATGCAAATGACACCAAACTACATATATACATTTTAATTTACATAAGTAAATTAAAGTTCTAAGTGCAGTTTCGGTTTGCTCTTCCGAAGTATAAACCTCAATAAATCCTATTCTATGAAATGCTTCCTTAAAATAGTGTAAATAATTATTTTTTTATTAAACCCTATTCATTTTCAAGAAAAACAATTTACTGGTAGAAATGTCTTGAAAGCGAATGAACAAGACAAGTAGCAAGAGGAGATAAACAGATAAGAACACTCCCTCAAGAATGTTCTTCTAGGGCTAGAACTATGACAGCTATGCCAACACTGACCCATGTGGAGATTTTCTACAACATATTACTGCCCATCTCTAGCACAGATATTTTGTGGAAGGAGGAAGGAGAATGACAGAATATGTCTCCAGGGTTGACCTAGTGAGAAATTAATTAAAGATCAATTAATCCACTTAGTAATCCTCTTTCCTCCTTAACAGTACAAAAACCAGCTATGTATCTGCCACATCTTAATTACGTATTCACACTTCTATGTTAAAAGAATTCAAGATAATGAAGTTATTACTGTTGAAAGGCATACGATAGAGTAGCCAGAAATAGACTTAGATCCATATGAGCCACAACACTTTAAAAAGTAAAATCCTGGCCAGGCATGGTCCTTGACATCTGTAACCCCAGTACTTTGGGAGGCTGAGGAGGGCAAAACACAAGGTTAGGAGTTTGAGACCAGCCTGCCAACATGGTGAAACCCATCTCTACTAAAAATACTAAGGGCACCTGTCATTCCAGCTACTCAGGGCTGAGTCAGGAGAATCACTTGAATCTGGGAGGTGGAGGCTGCAGTGAGCAGAGATCACACCACTGCACCCTAGCCCAGGTGACAGAGTGAGACTCCATCTCAAAAAAAAAAAAAGAGTAAAAATTCGAATCAAGTGTTCTTTATCAGAGTTTGATTCCTTTGCTTTTATCCTAAGGACAATTTCTTTCTTTCTTTCTTTCTTTTTTTTGAGATGGGAGTCTTGCTCTGTTGCCTCGGCTGGAGTGCAGTGGCGTGATCTCAGCTCACCACAGCCTCCACTTCCCAGGCTCAAGCGATTCTCCTGCCTCAGAAGAATCAGCCTCCCAAGTAGCTGGGACTATAGGCATGTATCACCATGCCCGACTAATTTTTTGTATGTTTAGTAGAGACAGGGTTTCACCATGTTGGCCATGCTGGTCTTGAACTCCTGACTTCAGGTGATCCACTTGCCTTGGTCTCCCAAAGCGCTGGGATTACAGGCAGGAGCCACTGTACCCGGCCAAGGACAATTTCTGAAAATCAAAGCTAAAGTGAAAAAAAAATTCTGTGGTAAAACAATATTGCAATTGGTGAAAACTACCAGAAGGCAGAGGTACTGACTCTGCTAGAATATCAATCAATAAGCCAGTTGCAGCAGTGCATGCCTGTAGTTTCAGCTATAAGGGAGGCTGAGGCAGGAGGACTGCTTGAACCCAGGAGTTTGAGGCTATAGTGCACTACTGGCACACCCATTAATAGCCACTGCACTCCACTGTGGGCAACACACTGAGGCCCTGACTCTAAACAATTTTTTTAAAAAAGATTATTAATATCAAGTCATCTGCAATCACTTTCAAATTAAATACTTCTAACTTGCAATTAGCTTTCTTGGATCACAAGTGAAGCATTTTGTGGTGTCTTCTAAAATATTTTGCTTTAGTTTAACAGTGTAACAAAATGGATGTTTATGAATATAGTACTCTTCTCTTATCCACCGAGGATATGTTACAAGATCCCCAATGGATGCCTGAAATCATGGATAGTATTGAACCCTATATATACTATGTTATTTTGATCTGATAAAGAAGATAGCTACTAAGTGAATACCAGATGGACAGAGTATACAGGGTGGATCCACTGTATGTATAAAGGGATGATTCACGTCCTGCGTAGGAAGAACGGGATGGAGTAAGATTTTACCATGCTACCCAGAACAAGGCGCAATTTAAAACTTATGAACTGCTTATTTCTGGCATTTTCCATTTATTATTTTCAGATAGTGGTTGACCACAGAAAGTAAAAACTGGGGATGTGGGATTACTGCTTCTCCAAATATGATATAAAGCAATGAATATTCCTTTAAGCAGCAATGATGTCAGTATTACATGAATCAGTTTATAATAATCAGTTTATTAATTAGCAGTTACTAGTTTGTAATAATTACATTTATAATTTAATCTAATTATTTAGCCACTGTGGTTTAATTTTTCTCTAATTCAGATAAGCAAATGTTATACTTGAACTCATATGTATTGAATTCTTAAAATACCATTAATACATGACTGGTTTTTCAAATCATATTTATGTTATAATCAATGTAAAACTTAACAATATTAATACATTTGAAAAGTTTAACATCATCTAAATTGGTTATAAAAGATTATTCACCAGTACTAAACTAAAACACACTATATTCCAAAGTTAGAACAGGAACACTTAACAGAATATCAGGATCATTAATAGTTAACAATAAATTATTCTATTTTTTAATTTAGATAATTATTTTATTGATACCTATAAGGGTATTCATCTATTCTTCTAACATTAGTCTTCTAACACTATTCTATTTCCATCTATGTCCATCTGGTATTCACTTAGTAGCTGTCTTCCTTATCAGATCAAAAAAACATAGTATACATAGGGTTCAATACCATCCAGGAGTTCAGGCATCCATTGGGAGTCTTACAACATATCCCCTGTGGATAAGGGAAGACTACTGTATTCATAAACTATTAGGTTTCTAACGTTAGTAAACATTCATATGAAAGTCAATAAATAACTTGAAACATGAAGATTAGATTAACAGACTCCAACTGTCAAAAAGCTCAACTTCTCTCAATGTCCTTTGCCAATGCGGCATTTGTTGACGTTATTTAACCTGCAGACTATGTTAATATATACATTCCTTCCACGTTCACAGAAAAATTTACTCTATACGGAGGAGTGAGGAAAAGTACACGTGAGGTACATTTTAAATTTTAAAATGTTTTGTAGAGGTATCACATCGTAACATCATTGCCATTCAGAAAGAATCGGAGGAAAGGTAACTTTCATTGTGTGACTATAAAATGGACTTCACACAAAAACTCATCCTTGTAGTGAACATCAGTTTTGATGAAACGTAAAAGAACTCATCCTTAACTTATTTATGATTAATACCTTATTCTTATACTTAATTTGGAAATATATACATTTAAAACATTAATATTGAATATTTTCATAAAAATAAAAATCTGATGACTCAAGAGTTTATGAGAATTATAGTTCAATGTGGCTAAATGACTCATGGAGTTGGAGTCAAGTAATGAATGAGGTTAAAATAAATGGCATAAACCATACAAGCACTTGATTGAGAAACATTCAATAATCAGATGAAATTTATAATAAAAGTGAATGCCCTATTACTACGTGTACATAATGGGATACATATTTGTACAGAAGAGATCTTGGAATAAAATTATCGACTAATTCTAAGATTGAACCAATTTTCAACCCAATGAATGTACTAGTCACAGAAGTCAAGAACATTAAACCCTTAATATACCTAACTATATACAATTTATAAAGTTCTAATTAACTGTTATCAGAACCTGAAATCATTCTCAGAATAATTTATTAAAGGAGTCCTCATCACTCATTTCATATGAACATAGTGTAAAGAAAAGTATATTTCTAGTGATGAGCAATTAAAAGAACCAAGCTTTGTTGAATGTCTAATGTATGCCAAACACATATTAAACATTCTCAAGGTTATTTTGTGAACTACTTTGTGAGGTAAGCAATTATCCTATGAGGTATATATTACTATCATCCCCCATTTTATAGTTTAAAAAGCTGTATTTCAGAGTTTAAGTGATGTGCCCAGGTTCATAGAGCTCAAAGGTGCTGAAGTGTGTAAAAAGGACTTTCTAGCTTTGTCCAACCCCCCCACACCCTGCTCTTTTCTTACATCTTATTGCCCTACTTACCAGAAAAATGGTAGTCATACTTAGGTAAAATACAAGATAATTATGTGGTCTATGATTAAAACTACTTGATTTCAAAATTTTAGAATACTCAAATACAATCTAGATCTGTCAAACTTTGCAACTCTGGCACTGCAGTGAAGTTATAATGTTATGTGATACTCAGAAATCAATCAATCAATCAATCAATCTCTCTCTCTCTCAGACAAAGTCTCACTCTGTCATTCTGGAGTACAGTGGTATGATCATTAGATCATTTCAACCTCAAACTCCTGGGTGCAAGAGATCCTTCTACTTCAGCCACCTGAGTAGCTGGGACTACAGGCACACACTATCACTTGGCAATTTTTTTTTTTTTTTTTTTTTTTTTTTTTTTTGAGATAGGGTCTTCCTCTGTAATGAGGCTGGAGTGCCAGTGGTGTGATCAATACTCCTGGGCTCAAGTGATTCTCCCATCTCAGCCTCCCGAGTAGCTGGGACTACATGTGCCTGCCACTATACCAGGCTAATTTTATTTTATTTTTTTTAATTTGTAGAGATGAAGTCTCCCTATGTTGCCGAGGCTGGTCTCAAACTCCTGGGCTCCAGTGATTTTCCTACCTCGGCCTCTCAAGGTGCAGAGATTACAGGTGTGATGTACTATGCCCAACCAATAAATGTTATTGAGAAATCATTCCTTAAAAGTTCCAATATAAAAAGTATTACACTATAAGATTTATTTCTTGGGTTATAAATTTGGTCTACTGATGATTATTCTGCCTCCTGAATAAGTGAATATAGCTTAGAAGACCCCCGTAATTCTAGTTCAGTTAAGCCAGTCTGATATCATTAAATGGCAGAATTAAAGCTTCGAAACTAACCTACAGCATCAAAGATTCAACTAGTATCCATCTTAGCAATTTTGATGACACATTAGACAAACTATCAACTTTACTTCTATGTTTTCTCTAGACATAGTGAATCTATAAATTTCTCAAAGTATAATCCTTTGAGAATCCATATATAACACATATAATATTACTAGGGTTATAATTCAAACCAGCTCAAATCTGTCAAAAATTATTTCATAATTATCTTTTTTCCTTTTTTAAGATGGAGTTTCACTCTTATTGCCCAGGCTGGAGTGCAATTGCACTACCTCAGCTCACTGTAGCCTCCAACTCCCAGATTCAAACAATTTTCCTACCTCAACCTCCTGAGTAGCTGGGATTACAGGCATGCACCACCACACTCAGCTAATTTTTGTATTTTTAGTAGAGAATGGGTTTCACCACGTTGGTCAGGCTGGTCTCTCTCCTGACCTCAGGTGGCCTCCCAAAGTGCTGGGATTACAGGGATGAGCCATTGAGCTCATGCTATAATTACGTTTTTTTCAATGTAATCTTCTAAGTCATTGTTTCTTCCACACAGTTAAGATAGTTCATCAATTTAGTTTTCTTGACCAACATCAACAAAAAACAGTATCATCACAAGATATGTCATACTGTAAGAATAAGCATCTTTCAAAAAACTTGTTTAAAAAAAAGTATGTATAAGTATATATTTATTCATATATAATTATTCATGTATATAACTATAAATATATGCAACTATATATGTATATATATGAAATTCTATACATGTATGTAAAATATATTTCTCACCATGAGTTATGGTCAACAAGTATGATAAACACTGTTCTAAGTTTTATCTGTAGTGCTTATATTTAAATACTATTTGTACCTTATCTTAAAACATATCATATTTATAGATATCACAGATAGTTTCAATAAATTTTTCTGAACCTGAAAATAACCAGTTTAATTTTTAAAATGCAGCTGAAGATTGTCTTATTGTAACAAGAATTTCCAATATTATTTACATTTTCCTACAGAAAACCTGATAATCACCATATTTTGATATCTTTAGCTTTTCAAATCTATATTTAAAAACTAAAATTTGCCCTGTTATCTCAATATGAAAAAACAGCTATACAAATTTTAACCAAATTTCATGGGCATATATGGGATGGTCTGATCTAGAGCCACTAGCATATATATATAAAATTCACTGTAGTGTAAAAAAAAATGCACTTTGTGGAACTCTGGGGTGCTCCCCAAAGATACAGGTAGTTTAAGCACCAAAGCATCTAAGACTTTCAATCAAGAAATATAACTTATAAGAATTAGAGCATTACAGAGGAAAGAAAAGTTTTCACATGCAATCATACTTTGGTGTCTCTAGGGGAATTAGCTCTAGGACCCCTCTAAGTAGACTAAAATCATGGATGCCTAAGACCCTTAATGGCATAGTATTTGCATACAATCTGTGGACATCCATCCATATACTTTAAATCATCTCTAAGATTACTATGTAAATAGTTGTCAAACTGTATTTTTAAATTTTATATATTTTTTATTGCAGTACCGTTATTATTTTTTGTGTGTGTGAATATTTTTTATCTGTGGTTGGTCAAATCCTCAAATGCAGAACCCTCAGAGATGGAGGGCCAACTATATGTACCCCAAATTTAATAAAGTCACAAAAGCAGATTCTGAATTGCAAGCAGTGATTTTAAATCAAGATACGTCCCATAGAGGCAACTTTAGCCTAAATCAGGCACCAGTGTATTTATTTAATGTTGGCTAATTACTTTCCTGGACAGATTACTAGTAAGTGTATTCCAACTTTTAAACACATTAACTTCTAAAGTAGCAAAGTTTTTATTGCTATTAGCAATCTAAAACAGTAATATGTTCTTTAACAACATGAAAGTGTTTTCTTTTTTCTAATAGAAACCTACAATAAATTTTAACATTGAATACACTGAGTTACTGAACCATTTACTGAATGGTAAAAAAACATTCAGAGTATGGAATAGTTTACAGTCTCTTCAAATTCTGGACTAAAGAAACGGCAATCACATCTAAAAGAGGAAGAAAAAGATAACAAAATGACATATACTTATTACCAACCCATAAAGTATTTCCCAAAGTGGCCAATACCTGTATCAGCCTTTATCACCTAAAGCAAAAACTACTATTAAAACATTAACTTCAATAAACAAATTTATATGATTAGAATTCAAGCATTTATAAAAAAGCATAACTCAGCCGGGCGCGGTGGCTCAAGCCTATAAACCCAGCACTTTGGGAGGCCGAGGCAGGTGGATCACGAGGTCGAGAGATCGAGACCATCCTGGTCAACATGGTGAAACCCCGTCTCTACTAAAAATACAAAAAACTAGCTGGGCGTGGTGGCGCATGCCTGTAATCCCAGCTACTTAGGAGGCTGAGGCAGGAGAATTGACTGAGCCCAGGAGGCGGAGGTTGTGGTGAGCCGAGATCGCGCCATTGCACTCCAGCCTGGGTAACAAGAGCGAAACTCCGTCTCAAAAAAAAAAAAAAAAAAAAGCATAACTCAAAATGAAGTATCCTATCCAAAATATCAAAAAAAATTTTGATATTTTTACTGTGCTAAATATGGATACTTTGTAATGGTCACATGTCTAAGAAACCCAATATCAAATACTTTCCAGAAACTAAAACAGGGACCAAGCTATTCAACCAAACTTAAGACCTTAGCCAACAATCTGAAAAAAAATCAGTAACAGATGATCTTCAGGTTCTAGTCACTTAACATTATATTTATAAAAATACAATAGAAGCATGAATAACAAGAACTCAAGTAGCAACAATCAATAATTTCAACAATAAAATACACATTTTATTTATGTTATTAGAAATCAATATAATTTAAGTCTTACCTCTGAACTGTAGTCATCCGCTGTGGTTGAAACTTCACTTTCCAGCTAAAACGAAAGTAAAAACCAAATATAATTATGACTTTTTTGCGTTAAGTATTGTACTTCACTAAGCTATTACTACTGGTAACATACGATGGAAAAGTCACATAAAATACCACTAAAAAACTAGTAAAAATTATTCAAATCTTTAAAATTTTCATTTAATTATAAATAACAATGGCAAAATAATGCAACTAAAATGTACCAGTAGGCATTTTTCTAAATATAAGAGTATCAAGAGTTACTTTCATACAGATCTTATATACAGTACATATCATTTGTAAGCCAAAAGCACGAAGACACCATTCCTTTGATCCTGTACGGTAGCCTCCACTTTATCCATGGTATTGCTTCCTATAATTTCAGTTACCCACGGTTAAATGTGTTTAGAAAATATTTAAATGAAAATTCCAAAAATAAACAATTTGTAAGTTTTAAATTGTGCACTGTTCTAAGTGCCATGATGAAATCTCACTCTGTCCCATCCAGGACATGAATTGTCCCTTTGTACAGCATATCCACACAGTATATGCTATTTGCCCAATAGTTACTTGGTAGCTATCTCTGTTATCAGATGCACTGTCATACAGTATGGCAGTATGCAGTATTGTAGTGCTTGTGTTCAAGTAATGGCGCAAGATTACTACTGTGCCTTGCTTTACTCAAAGTGTAAGATTACTGTGCCTAATTTATCAATTAAACTTTATCATTAAGTATATGAGTATAGGAAAAAACACAGTATATATAGAGTTCAGTACTATCTCTGGTTTCAGGTCTCCACTGGGGGTGTTGGATTATACTCTTCATATGGTTTGGCTAAGTTCCCCATCCAAATCTCATCTTGAATTGTAGCTCCCATGATTCCCATGTGTTTTGGGAGGGACCTAGTGGGAGATAACCAAATCATGGGAGTGGTTTCCCCCATACTGTTCCCGTGGTATTGAATAAGTCTCACAAGATCTGATGGTTTATAAGGGGTTTCCCTTTTTACTTGGCTCTTCTCTCGTCTGCTGCCATGTAAGACGTGCCTTTTGCCTTCTGCCATGATTGTGAGTGAGGCCTCCCCAGCCACGTGGAACTGTGAGTCCATGAAACTTCTTTTTTTTTTACAAATTACTCGGTCTCCACTGTGTCTTTATCAACAGCATGAATATGGAATAATACAACTCTCCACATTTTACCTCTTTAAAATGAAAGAAAGTCCTAAAACACTGCTGTTAGAAAAGTTCAGCTAGGCGTTGTGGCTTACACCTGTAATCCCAGCACTTTGGGAGGCCAAGGTGGGTGTATCATTTGAGGTCAGGAGTTCAAGACCAGCCTGGCCAATATGGTGAAACCTTGCCTCTACTTAAAAAAAAACAAACAAACAATAAACTAGCCAGGTGGTAGCGGCGCACACTTGTAATCCCAGCTACTTGGGAGGCTGAGGCAGGAGAACTGCTTGAGTCTAGGAGGTGGATGCTGTAGTGAGCCAAGATTGTGCCATTTTACTCTAGTTTGGGTGACAGAGTGAGGTCCTGTCTTTAAAAAAATAAATAAGAAAAGTTCAATTTCTCTGAAAGAAAAATCATAAAATCTTGATGCTCAAAAACTAATAACTAAAGAAAAAATAACCACCTTTGTTGTTGTAACACCTTTAGAGTTTACAAAAGCACTTTTAAAGCCATTCTTGTTTCACTATCACATCCTTGGATTTGGGTATGAAGTGAGCAACTTTTTCAAGCTTCCCTAAAAGAAGTAGCAGAAAGAGTCAAGGAACAAATCCAAATTTTCTGACTCCAAAAGTACTATTTTCACTGTTGACCCTCTCATCTAACCTAAGAATCTCATTTTGATGGTTAGAGAAGTGAGACCCAGAGAGTTTCACCCTTTCATTCAATAAATATTAACCATCACTGTCTCCTTTCTGATCTACACCTATGGAAATTCTATTCAACATTCAAGCCCAAGTTCTAAAACTACGTTCGCCATGAAGTAGTAATTGAGGCCAAGAACAAAAATAAGCTTGCCCGTAATATAAAATGTTATTAACAGTGGTTCCTAACTCATGAGATTCTTTTTTTTTTTTTTTTTTTTTGAGAGAGTCTTGCTCTATCACCCAGGAGTGCAGTGTTGTAATCTTGGCTCACTGTAATCTCGCCTTCCAGGTTCAAGCACTTCTCCTGCCTCAACCTCCCAAGTAGCTGGGATTACAGGCATTTGCCACTACACCCAGCTCATTTTTGTATTTTTAGTAGAGACAAGGTTCACCATGTTGGCCAGGCTGGTCTCGAACTCCTAACCTCAAGTGATCTGCCTGCCTCGGCCTCCCAAAATGCTGGGATTACAGGTGTGAACCACTGCACTCAGTCGAGATTCTCTTTTAAATCTGAAATACTTTCATGACACAACCCCTCATGTTCATTAAATGCATATTGTGTACTGGAAATGGTAGTACCGAGAATTAAATGCTGAATAATACAATTGTTGCATTCAAAATGCTAAAATATAGAACAGAGAAACCAAATATTAGTTTGTATATTTAAAAAAAGACAATATGCCTTTGAGCCAAATCAAGCACTAGAGTTGCCATACTGCATTATTTTTTAAGTTCCAGTTTTAATAAAACAAAAATTACATGACATACCAAAAAAAAAAAGTATAGCCTATGCACAATGGTCAAAAGAAACTTTCCCTGAGGAACACAGACATTGTACTTAACAGACAAAGTTTTGTTTCATTTCGTTTTGTTTTTTGAGACAGAAGCTTGCTCTGTCACTCAGGCTGGAGTGTAGTGGTGTGATCACAGGTCACTGTAGCCTCCATCTCTTGGGCTCAAACAACTTTCCCACCTTAGCCTCTGGAGTAGCTGGGACCACAGGTGTGCAAAACCATGCCCTGCTGAACTGTTTTACTTTTTGTAGAGACAGAGTCTCCCTTTGTTGCCCAGGCTCGTCTCAAACTCTTGGGCTCAAGTAATCACCCTGCCTCTGCCTCCCAAAGTGCTGGGATTACAGGTATGAGCCATCAAGCCTGGTCAACAAAGATTTTAACTCAGCTATTTTAAATATAGTCAAATAACTAAAGGAAATAAAATCTAAAAAAAATAATTTTTTAAATTGTAAGAACAGCACCTCACCAAATGAAGAATATAATAAAACAAAGAAATTATGCAAGAACCAAATAAAAATTCTGGAGTTGAAAAGAAAAATAAATGAAAAAGCCACTGGAAGGACTCAATAGTAGATCTAAGCTGACAGAAGAGAGAATCACAAACTTCAGGATAGATCAATTGAAATTATCCACCCTGAAGAACAGAAAGATGACTGTATGTTGTAACATTTAAATGCCCACAGTATTTTTAAAGACTGAATTTATATAACATTAAATGTGTGCTGTAACATCTTTTGTCCCCAGTAACAGTCTTCATAATAAAGTCATTGCAAATAGAAACAAAAAAGCATTTAACAAAACTCAATACTCAGGTTGGGTGTAGTGACTCAAGCCTGTAATTCTAGCACTTTGGGAGGCTGAAGCAGGCAGGTAACTTGAGTCCATGAGTTTGAGATCAGTCTGGGAAACATGGCAAAACCCCGTATCTACAAAAAATACAAAAATTAGCTACGTATGGTGGTGTGGGCCTGTAGTCCCAGCTACTTGTGGGGTTGAGGTGGGAGGACTGCTGGGGCCTGGGAGGTTGAGGCTGCAATGAGCTGTGATTGTGCCACTGCATGCCAACCTGGACAACAGAGTGATATCCTGTCTCAAAAAGCAATGAAATAAGTGGCTGGGCACAGTGGCTCATGCCTGTAATCCCAGGACTTTGGGAGGCTGAGGTGTACAGATAACTTGAGCTCAGGAGTTCAAGACCAGCCTGGCCAACATGGTAAAAACCCCATCTCTACTAAAAATACAAAAATTAGTCGGGCAATCCCAATCCTACTCAAGCAGGTGAGGCAGGAAAATCACCTGAACCTGGGAGGCAGAGGCTGCAGTGAGTCAAGATCACACCACTACACTCCAGCCTGGGCAACAAAGCGAGACTTTGTCTCAACAAACAAACAAATAAAATGAAAAATAAAAACAAAACAAAACTTCAACACTCCTTCCTTTCATAATGAAAACATTCAACAAACCAGGAATAAAAGGAAACTTCATCAATCCGATAAAGGATAGCTACAAAAAAAAAAAAACAAACAGCAGCAGCTAACATAAAACTCAATGGTTAAAAAAAAAAACCCTGAATGCTTTCCCCTTATTATGAGAAACAATACAAGTATGTCTGCTCTCACCACTTTTTTTCAACATTGTCCTATATCTTCCAGCTACGGCAATTAGAAAAAAGAAACATCAACATTGGAAAGGAAGAAGTTAAACATTTCCAGTTTAGTTGCAGATAATATGATCTCATATACAGGGAAAAATCCAAGGAATTCACCAGCAAAAGAAAAATCTATTAGAACTTATAGACGAGTTAGTTCTAAAAGGGTACAGGATAAAAGATCAATATACAAGGCCGGGTGCGGTGGCTCAAGCCTGTAATCCCAGCACTTTGGGAGGCCGAGGCGGGTGAATCACAAGGTCAAGAGATCGAGACCATCCTGGTCAACATGGTGAAACCCTGTCTCTACTAAAAATACAAAAAATTAGCTGGGCATGGTGGCGCATGCCTGTAATCCCAGCTACTCAGGAGGCTGAGGCAGGAGAATTGCCTGAACCCAGGAGGCGGAGGTTGCGGTGAGCCGAGATCGCGCCATTGCACTCCAGCCTGGGTAACAAGAGCGAAACTCCGTCTCAAAAAAAAAAAAAAAAAAAGATCAATATACAAATTCAGTTGTATTTCTATACATGAATAACGAACAATCAGAAAATAAAGTTAAAAATACAATTATATTTTGAATAGTAATAAAAAGCAGTAAAATGCTTAGAAATTAAATAGCAATAATATGCTTGGTGGGTAGGCATAGTTGCTCATGCCTGTAAATAATACTTTATAGGCATGAGCACTTTCGGGGCCAGGGCAGGAGGATCGCTTGAGTCTAAGAGTTTGAGACTAGCCTGGGCACAAAGTGAGACCACATCTCTACAAAAAAATAAAAATAGAATAATAAAAAGAAAGCCAAGCATGGTGGCTCATGCCTGCAATCCCAGGACTTTGGAAGGCCAAAGTGGCTGGATCTCCTGAGCTCAGGAGTTTGAGACTATCCTGGGAAACATGGTGAAATCCCATCTCTACCAAAAATACAAAACATTAGCCAGGTGTAGTATTATGCACCTGTGGTCCCAGCTACTCAGGAGGCTGAGGTGGGAGGATGGCTTCAGCCTGGCTGTCAGAGGTTGCAGTGAGACGAGATAGAGCCACTGCACTCCAACTAGGGTGACAGAGTCAGACCCCCATCTCAAAAAAAAAAATCATAAATAAATAAATAATAAAATGCTTGGGAGCATATTTAACAAAACAAATGTAAGACATTTACACTGAAAACTATAAGATAATATAGATAGAAATTAAAAACCTAAATAAATAAAAATCCTGTGTTCATAGGCTGGAAACCTTAATATTGCTAAGATGACAAAACTCCCCAAATTCATCTACAGATTCAGTGTAATCCCTGTCAAAATCCTTGGTGTTTTTAATGCAGAAACAGAAAATCTGACCCTCAAATTGATATGCAAATGCAAGGTAATAGCCAAGACAATCTTAAAAAAGAAGAAAGTTGGAAGACTCAAACTTACTGATTTCAAAACCTGTTATGAAGCTACATTATTTAAGACTTGGGGGCATAGTAGCAAAGGCTAAACATACAGATCTAAACATATAGATCTACAGAATATAATTGAGGGGATAAATACAAACCCTCACCTTTATATTCATTGACAATTCACTCGGAAAAGAATAGTCTTTTCAACAAATGGTGTTGGTACAAATGGATAGCCACAAACAAACAAACAAACCAAAAAATGAAGTCAGACACCTATCTCCCATGCTAGCAAAGGTCTAATCATAGCACACTGCACATCTTTACATCTGCCTTCTCCACTAAAATAATTTTCCTAAAGGGTAGAGACTGTCATTTCCATCTTTGTACCCTGGTGCTCAATCTTTGGTATACTGCCGTTGTTTAATATATGTTAAATTAAGCTCACAAAACTCCTTCTTTGAGGTTATTAAAAATTTTAGGTATGACTGTTTAGTTACCACAGTATTAAAACCTTTAAGAGGACATAAAAATCATGATCAAATTGCACATAGTTGCTAATGACTGTTGTTATTATGACTACTTTCCACTAAGAATCATAATGATTAAAAATCTGGGAGAATACTTACTTCAGCAGAGAAGACCTGGTCATGACTGGTTATTTCTCCACTATGTAGAGTTCTCATCGTAGATTCAGGAGTCACAGTTGATTCTACTCTCTGAGAACTATTTATGTACATTTCATCACACTGTGATTGATGAATATTCAAATCATGGTGCACTGACCCATCATGTTTACTGCTTGACGTTTTTCTCTTTTTTTTCTGCTTCTTGGAAGGATTCTGCCCATCTGATTGAGCTTTTCTTTGTCGAAACTGGGCAAGCTAAGGAAAAAGGAAATTATCATTACTGTCAAAGATAATTTTTCTTTATTGCCACCAAGAAAAAGCAGCTTTGGGAGTCTCAAAGATCAAACTATCACTCAAAAAAAAAAAAAAAAGAAAAAAAGATGATAAAATAAGGACAATTATTACAGTGTTTAGAATAAAAAATAACTATTGGAATGCAAAGAAACATTTCTGAATGAACCTACTGAAATACTGAAAGGTAAGAACTGAAAATATCATGTATAAATAAAAGAAAATTAGCCCAGAATTAGGCAGAATAAGGGAAATCAGGCACTGTCATTCACTGCTTGGTGAGAATATAATCTCACCAAGATTTTATTTTACTTTTTGGGACAGGGGTCTTACTCTGTCACCCAGGCTGGAGTACAGTAGCACCATTACAGGTCACCTCAACCTTCTGGGTTCAACAGATCCTCCCACCTCAGCTCCCAAGTAGCTGGGACTATAGGAACATGTCATCACACCTGGCTAACTTAATTCTTATATTTTTCTATACAGATGGGTTTTTGCCATGTTGCCCAGGCTGGTTTTCAACTCTTGGGCTCAAGCAATCTGCCTGCCTCAGCTTCCACAAAATGCTGGGATTATAGACATGAGCCACTGCTCTGGCCAATCTCTGGATTTCAGATTATATGGAAACACACACACACATATACACATGTACATAGAGAGTACTAAATGCATTTGCTTTCTGGAATTTCTGGGTCTTCTATTACTATATACTAAAAAGATTTAGTTCATGCAAAAATATTTAGCTATATAAAATAGTCACTGCAGCCATATTTATAATGGGAAAAAAACTGGAGATAACTTAAATATCAAACAACAGTGCTTTCCAGCTCTTAAGCATTTACATATCATTATCAGGATTTTTGTCCTATCCTAAAGCCACCTTTACATGTCATTTACTTAACATGTTTAAATCAATGTAGCTTTTTATTTAAATTTATTTTAAGAACTAATAGAGGCTTCTATTAGGTCGGTGCAAAAACTGCAACTGCTTTGGCACTGAACTAAAGGCTTCAAAATGGTGGCATAGAAGCAAGCTGGTTTCACTCCCCCTCACAGAAAACCAAAAACAAATATACATCACCTAGATTACTACTGGCAATATCCCAGAATTCAAATATGAGGAAGAAACAGTATTCAAGACTACAGAGAAGTGAAAAAACTCTGAGCAGAAGTTAAAAGAATTAGACTTCGATTTTCACGATTCCCATTCCCCTAATCTGCCCAGCACCGAACACTGAAAATATTCCCCTAATTCACTATTTCTACATTGGAAAAAGTGAGATCAAGGTAGAAAACCAGCTTCCCCATCAAGTTGGGCTCCTTGACAGGAGATCTGTCCCTGGCTCAACCCATGGGAAGTACTGGGAATATCTGAAGGGAAAGATATTCCTAACAGCCAGAGACAAAGCAGGAAGGCAAGACTACCATTCCTAGCCCTGGAAACTCTGCTTTGCAACTTGGCCAAAGGAGACAGCAGCAACACACTGTTAGAGGTTCATGACCCAGGTCCTCTGGGCATGAGTCCCTAGACAGCCTAGGGACCTTTGGGACCTTACCCATCAAGGATGGATAACACTGATTGTTTACTAGAACTGAGGGAAACTGGGGCTAAGGCAACATACGCATTGTATTATGTGGTGCTGAAAAGGAGGGAGCAACAGAGTACAAAAAAAAAAGACAGAAAGGCAAAACATAAAAGCCTCTCTAAGCAAACACATCCAGTAAAAGCTAAAAACAAGCCAGACAGAGAACACTAGAATAAATAACAAAATCTTCACTTTAAAGACATAAACGTATATGCACAAGAAATAACAGCAAATGGGAAACTTTGACTTAGTCAAATGGACAAATCAAAGAACCAGCGAATGACCCTAACAAGACAGAAATATGCGAACTCTGTGAACAAGAATTCAAGATAGCAGTTTAAAGGAAACTTAGTGATCTCTATAACACAGAAAATTTATTAGAGAAATTTAACAAAGATTAAAAAAATTATAAATCAACAGAAATTTTGGAACTGAGAAATAGATTTGCTGAACAGAAAAAATCATTAGCGGCTCTCAATAGAAGAATGGATCAAACAGAAAAAAGAATCAGTGAGATCAAAGACAGGCTATTTAAAAATACACAGAGTAGAAAAAAGAAAGAATGAAAAAGAACAAAGATCACATACAAGATACAGAAAATTACCTCAAAAGATCAAATCTAAGAATTATCAGTGTTCAAAAGGGAGTTCTAAGTTCTAGTCTTCACTGCCTGGCTTATTTTGTTTCTTACTGAATATGTTAACTTAGTCTTTGTAAATTTATGTATTGCTTTTGTGTCTTTTTTTTTTGTACTATGTCACTGCCTGTTTTTCAGCATTTCATAACATAATGCCTTAACTATAATGCAAGGGGGTAGAAATCCTATTCAAGAAATAATAAAAACTTCCCAAAATCTGAGAAAGAGATAAAATATCCAGGTATAAAAACATTAGAGAACACGGCAGATTTGACCCAAGAAACACTACTCCAAAGCATGTAATAATCAAACTCTTAATGGACAAAGAGAGGATCCTAAAAGTGGCAAAAGAAAAGAAGCAAACAACGTATAAAAGAGCTCCGGTTCATCTGGCAACAGATTTCTCAACAGAAACCATACAGGTCGTACAGGAGGAAGAAACCATACAGGAAGAAGTGGGACAACATGTTCAAAGTGCTGAAGGAACAAAACTGCCACCGAAGGATACAGTATCCAGCAAAGCTGTCCTTCAAATATGAAGGAAGAGGAATAAAGTATTTCACAGACAAACAAAAGCTGAGAGAATTCACTAACACCAGACCAGTCTGACAAGAAAAGCTAAAGAGTTCTTCAACCTGAAAGAAAAAACACTAATGTGAAAAAACAAAACATGTTAATGTACACAACCCAGTAGTAAAATTAAGTACATGGACAAACCCACAACACCCTAATACTGTAATTGTGGTATAGCACCCACTTATAACTCTAGGATGAAGTCCAATACAATCCTACCAAAAACATTAATGGCTACAGCATCCTGCTAAGAAATAGACAATAGAAAAACATGTAAATCGAGACAAAATAAAGTCAAAATATGGAGGGAATGGAGTTAAAGTATAGAGGGACTTTTTCTCTTTTGTCTGTTTCTATTCTTTTCTTTGTGACCTAAGATAAGTTGTCATCTCATTAAAATAACTTCTTGAACCTGTAAAATGTCTTTTTAAGTTTCATGGTAACCACAATGCCAAAAACTGTAATATATTCACTACAAATAAAAAACTAATTAAAACATACTACCAGAAAAAAAAACACTTAACTTCAAAGAAAGACAAGAAAGGAAGAAGAGAGGAATTATAAAACAACCAGAAAACAAGCAACAAAATGGCACTAGTAAGACCTCACCAATAATAATACTGAATGTAAATATACTCAATTCTTCAATTAAAAAGGTGAGAGCAGCTGAGTAAATACAGAAATAAGACCCAACTATAAGCTGCCTACAAAAAATCCACTTCGCCTATTAAGAAAACAGACTGAAAATGAAGGGATGGAAAAAGATATTCCGTGCAACTGGACACTCAAAAAGAACAGTAGCTATTCTTATATCAGATAAAAGAGGCTACTAGTCAAAGACTATGAAAAGAGACTAAGAAGGTCATTATATAATGATAAAGGGGTCAGTTCAGCAAGAGGATATAACTATTATAAATATCTATGAACCTAGCATCAGAGCTCCCAAGTATAAAAAGCAAGTATTAATAGATCTAAAGGGAGAGATAGACTGTAATGCAATAAGAGTAGGGAACTTAAATATCCCAATCCCAGTATTGGACAGATCATCCAAAGAAAAAAATTAAAGAAACATCAGAGTTAAATTACACACTAGGCCAAATAGGCCAAACTGATATTTACAGAACATTTCATCCAACTCCTGAAGAGTACTCTTTTCATCAGCACATGGAACATTCTCCAGAATAGACCATAAAACAAGTCTCAACAAATTCAAAAGGTAGAAATTCATTAGGCCATAAAACAAGTCTCAACAAATTCATTAGGCCATAAAACAAGTCTCAACAAATTCATTAGGCCATAAAACAAGTCTCAACAAATTCATTAGGCCATAAAACAAGTCTCAACAAATTCAAAAGGTAGAAATCATATCAAGTATCTTTTCTGACCACAACGGAATAAAACTAAAAATCAACAACAAGAAGAACCTCAGAAAACACACACAAATAATAAGTGTGCTCCTGCGGGGCATTGTGGCTCATGTCTGTAATCCCAGCACTTTGAGTGGCTGAGGTGAGACAACTGCTTGAGGCCAGGAGTTCAAGACCAACCTGGGAAGTAAGAGTTCACTTTGCTGCCCAGATTGGTCTCAAACATACAAAAATTCAAAACATTGACTAGGCATGGTGTCCTGAACCTGTGGTCCCAGCTACTTGAGAGGCTGAGGCAGGAGGATTGCTTGAGCCTAGGAGGTTGGGGCTACACTCAACCATGTTCACACCACTGCACTCCAGCCTGGGTAAAAGAGAAAGACCCTGTCACAAAAAACCAACACATTCCTGTATGACAAATGCCATTATTTGCAGAAATAGAAAAAAAAAAAATCTTAAAATTTTGATAGAACCACAAAAGATCCCAAATAGCCAAAGCAAAAAGAACAAAGCTAAAAGCATCACCCTACCTGACTTCAAAATATACTACAAAGCCATACTAACAAATCAGCATGATCCTGGTATAAAAACAGACACATAGGCCAATGGAACAACATAGAGAACCCAGATATAAATTCACACATTTACAGTCAACTCATTTTCTACAAAGGTACCAAGAGTATATAACATCCACCCAGAAAATAAACATCAGAATTAAACTACATATTAGACTAAATAGGCTGAACTGATATTTACAGAACATTTCATTCAACTACTGAAGAATATACATTATTTTCCTCA